CTTCGGAGCAATTTAACTAACATACAGTATTAGTAATGACTTGCTTTCATGTATCGGAGAGGGCATTTAAAAGTATCGTACGTGTGGAGCGTAAGTGTACGCCTAATAATGATTAAACACGCACACAATAGTGACGTCACATCTTCTAAACTTTATACTGATGATAATGACTAATAATAATAATAATAATAATAATGACTAATAATAATAATAATTACTAATAATAATAATAATAATAATAATAATAATAATAATAATAGTAACAATTAAAATACTGTATTGTTATTAACGGAATATAGGACCATACACAGGTATGCCTTCATTATTTTCAACTGGTGACGACAGTGTTCAGGTTCCGTTTATTTTACAAATGCAATATCAGTGATTTTACCAACATTTTTCTGGAAGCATACCGACATAATAACTTTGTGGAATTAGCCAATCTTAGTTTCAACGAGTTACAATGAATACAATACTGGACATAAGCCCGTGGCATTTCGATAATCGGATGTACGGAACGTTATTTCCAAACGTGTTTTGCTATTATGTTTTAACTAAATGGTATGCCGTTTACCTGCGAGGCAGTCGTCACTGCTAAATGCATAGAATATGGGATCTCTTATACGTTTACTATGCATTTTAGATTGCCACGATTTCGGATTGACACTGCATGCATACGCAACCCTCCAGAGACCGAGCTGCAGATCGATGCGATTTTGTGTGGAATAATACCATTATACTGCTAAGTAGTTCAGTATATAGACAACTTTACACGTGAGATTCAATCCTCAACATAGTTATACCAACTTTATAGACCAACTGGCCGAACAGTTAATATTCATATTTGACATTTTTTGTCTCAAACACCAGACAATATGGGCGTGCGGACTCAAATTTTAAGAGGATATGCTACCAGTTGGCGATTTTCCCAGGGTAGCCTAAAATTCAAACAAGACAAATCGTTGCGTAATCACATCGCAAAGTCTACATACTTTGTCTATATTATTATTTAATGTCTTAAGAGCTATTATTTTATAGATGCGCGATGCCATCTAGGCCTACCTCTTTTTTACTATAATTCTGCAGTCTACATAGTCTCCACTTTTCTTCTCTCTACGTAGAGCACATTTTATAGTAATATACACATGCCCACGCTGCAGTCTCGTTAGTAATAACGCATGTTTGTTGATGCAGATTATAATTTCAGAGCCACTTTATAGACTAAATAAAGCGTATATGTTTGTGTGGGTATGAGTAGGTCTAATGCATGTAATTATTCCACACGAGCTTAAAATGTATGTGCAGTAAAACAAAATTAGATAATGTGCTACAAATGAAAAACATTTATACAAAGGTACACATCACAACTTTTTACATCATTCAGTAAATAAACACAGCATTCGAATTGACGTTTCCAGGATGAAAATTGAAAGAAATCGGAAGGAACCCCTTCATTTTTTTTTTCTATGATGGTTATAGACATCGTAGGCTGACGACGAAAACAGTCTGCATCATTTTAATTAATTATACACCTACAACTAACCCGTAAACTCTGAAGAATGACTATTGTAGCCAACATGGGTTTCAACAAAGTGTTTCAACAATACATGGTGTTAGTGATTATAGGAAAAAGGGTTCAAAATTTGCAGCGCCAAAGACCTAGCTACTTTTACACAAGGAAAATCAACATGGACCATTTTTGCTAAAAGTAAAGTGATCATGGTTTTAATCGCTTTATATTCATGAATATTCCCATAATTTTGGGTCGTTAGGCGCAGGTTCGTTCGTGTAGATGACCCAGGGTCATTCATCCTTGAAATGGCTTATTATACCTGCAATATGTGTTATTAATTTTCTTGATTCGGTGTCTGTTTGCATACGTACATCCTCAGATGAGGATTATTATTAATATGGTCAATACAAATACATTAGCAACTTGCTCGCCCTCTTGTCTTAAATAAAATCAGGCTATGACAACATGAAACATCGATCATGGGTAAACTGATACTATGTCGGAATTATTAATATCATACACAATTATACATTGTATATGATTATCCTGTCTGTTGTATTTGATATAACCATTTGTAAACAGTATAAACAGGGCGTATTGATTTTAAGAAAAGTAGGTTAATAAGACTTTCGATGAAAACTCACGGTGCATTCACATCAAATCCGAATTTTGGGATCGAAAAGCCTACGATACCGAACCGATCCGAAAAAAAAATCAGTATGTAGGAATAGGGAGGCTGTCGTTCAGCGCATCTGAAACGCGGGGTCCTAATTTATATTCAGATCCGATGTTAATGCGGTCTTAGGCCTGTATAAATATCATCTATACATTGTTCGTGTGAGTTCAACAGTTGTTCAAAAGTTAACGGTTGCTTAGGCCTCTGGCCACAAGCCATGTCTTATATTTCCTTTATGCTGGTTTGGTGAACCTGTAATGAACATGTCATTCAAACAGTATTTCAGCGTGGTCACTACCAGGTCACAACCGTATCATTCCACACTGAGAGATATGGATGTATTATAAGATATGCATGTGTTACGCACGCTGAATGGAAGTTACGCGATAGGACGCGTGGCAACGCTACGGATGTTACGTCAGAAAAGTTGCTATCACTGTTACGGGCATTATGTCATGTGTGGGTGATCGATATTTAAAATATGTGTCGTGCGAACAATGTATAATTTTATATAATTCCAGAATTTACAAAAGCGGGAAACGGTAATGTTGGATAAAGGTCATAGCAAGTATAACGGTTTAAGGTTAAGAGCACGTGAACTATAGAGCCGCCATGTGACAGCAGGAGCCAATATTTTTAAGGTCAGCTTGTAAGCTGTCTAATTAACACACGGGGAGTACTGTATTATATTGTACCATTTGCACAACAGTTGTAAAACCACATGTACAATGGTAATCATATACATACTTTATGTATGTACGCCGATAGAGACATTATAATATTGACATAAGGTTACTGACAATATGATATAAATTATCCTATTCAGGTCCAGTTGTCTGTTACATAGCAAGGACAACATGTTGTATATCTCATTTTTAATTTTAAGGTAATACATTTTCAAATTATACAAAAAGTAAGCAAATCGTAATAATAAATTTAGTTTTTTCGAGTTCAACACAGTAGAATGTAGGCCCTACTGTAGATCTTATAAGAGACAGGGGTTATACAGTACCGGTAGTTGTTAATCGTTAAAATTATTCAGCCTCTCAAACATCAGTAGGCCTACAATGCATCCTCTACAACGTTTAGATTGTGGGGCTTGTTGTATTACAGGTACAGTACCGCAATAATTATACAGTATACCATTGTCATTCTAACTTCCCCTTGAGATTGACGTGATTAGAGATATTGGTTAAGAGGGCAGCGTAAGTGCAGTTGGCCGAGAATCATTATCCTTCTCTACATCAATGTGAGACATGTTATATTAGGCCTATGCCAATCATAAATCGAATTAGACGTACAGTACAGTAGAAACAAGAAATCAGCATACATTAGAGGAGAGCTAAATTTATGTAAATAACCTTCAGAATTAGTGATCAATAAAGCTTTCGTGTAATTGCTTACAAAGATAGAAATGACAAAAAAAATATCTTTCTTAGATATAAATACAAAGGTATAAACTGAGCGTGATTTGTGCTTATATGAATGTAGCCTATTCATTGACGAATGCATCGTGACATAAACTAATTTATTATCACAACAGCTACTATCATTATAACCATCTTTATTATTAATATAGGACTACTGTTGCTATTGCTATTTTTGGTATTCTTATTACCATCATTAATAAAATATATCACCAATATTATTATCAAATATAATATCTATAATATATCTATAATAATTGTTTTATTATTAACAATCAAAGATGATAAAAATGATAGTAATTTAGTACGATAATTATATAGTTTTCAAAAATATTTGATTAATATAATTATATAAATTATTTCTTTTAGGCCTATTAATAAATATAATTTTATGATAAAAACCGTTAACAATAATAATCAATAGGCCTTAATATTATAATATTGTTGTCAGGAGAAAAAAAAAATGGTGTCACTTCGGTTTTTAACAATAACGCACTTATTAATAATTACTATTATAAATTACTTATATAAAATAATGATGTTAAAAGAGCTCTCTGGTTAGACATATTAACGACTGATTACAAGACGAGTAATTTCATTGCTGCAATATGCGCGCTTATATACGCAGTTCTTAATGAAGCCGCATAAATAATGGAAACGGAAAGACTGCTCTCGTATAGAGCAAGAGCGCTGGTAAACCAAGTAGGCGAATTTATAATGCGAAGCCTTTCATCGCCACGAACTTGTCTAGCATATCTGCAAAAAAATAAGCGAGAATATTCGAAGGACAGACCTCGAAACGCGAATGCCCCTCGTTATGCACAGTGTCATTATGTATACAAGATATTAACATTAACAGCCTCATGTACAGAAACAAAACATCTGTAGAAAAGTAATAAATGCAACGATTACGATTTGACTGTGAATACGGGGCCGTGCATGTTAGATATGAATCGGAGCTTATCAAAATAATAAGCAATTATCTATAATGCGTGCTGATTACATTGTAACGGACGTCGGGTATTGTTCGTCTACTGAATCACAAGAAATGGAAAACAAGCGAAATACAAATCATTATGAGAATGAAGATGTTGAAATCGGACTACGGCTTCCAAATGCTGGTTTATTTATAATTTAAATCCGGGTAACTTGTAGGATGTCTGGATCTGTCATTGTATTGATGACGGTCTGTTGTAGCATACTGATATATCTCACGGGTGTTTTACATTGAAATAATTCACAAAAAGAAAGTCTATTGAAGAAACGATTGTGCCATGAAGGAAGGTGAAATTAGCGGAGAAACTGGATTTTAACTTTTAATGACAAAAACATTGAATGAGAAATAAGATACGATATAGATAATAAACGATGAGGCGTAACTTACCTTACTGTAGATGAACCATGACAGTTCTGTTTCTATTATCATAACAACTATTCCAAACATACCAACTATTAATGCATAATCACTTAGACGTTTTCGCTTTTCAAATATACTCTTTCTGATTCCTAATCGATAGCTAGGCGTGTTCTGGTGATGGTGCCTTTGCCGGTTTGCAGCGAACGGCCTGTAGTCTTTTTTAGAATTGGCATCCTTCGCACCATTCTCCTTCATTTCAGAAGCGATAGACGGGTTGCGAAGGTGCCGAAATCGGGGCAAAGTCCCGTTGATCACTGCTGTATTCCTGGCAATTTCTATAAAGGCGTTATTATTCGACGATCCACTTTCATTGACGTTCGACGAGGTCGGCCGCCTAGAATTTCCATGTGAATGTTTGCTGTTTTCACCAACGATTCTCTCGTTGCCCGATCGGGGAGCCACGGCGACTGTAACGGGATCAGAGTCCGCTGTCTGCGGTGCCTCCGTTGAGTAGGGCCGACATGTGCATTGAGGGAGAAGGGCAATATTCTCCTGTTGTGGCTGTGGCTGTGGCAGATTATGCGACGCTCTCGACTGGCTACGATGCTGCTGCTGCTGTTCGAACGATAATTTCATTCTGGATTCCATACCAGCGCTTCTAATTGAGTTTTTAGCGTCGGTAGGGGGCGCAGTATCATCGACATGGACATGACTACGTAGATTCTCCCTTGAGTCGATCCTTGCGCTTTCTTTTGCAGGTGAAACATGCAGCACTGACATGTTCCCACTTCTAACTTTATCTCTTTTTGTATTACGATTCTTCATTTGGTTGATTTATTTACATTGCATATTTTCATTATATAAAATCTGCAATTATGCATATATATGTACTGAATTGCGAACCCAGAGAAAATATAACACAGCAAAATGAATAAACAGCACAGCAAATTCAACGACAATGACTCAAAGTTTCGCAACAAGTTCTCTTGATAGAATATCCGTCACTTCAAATATATTCCAATAGAAGTAAAACTAATACGTTGTCGCGTATATATGTGCCTATAATACGCGTAGATCCAAAAGAAATTAAAAGGAAAACAAAATCAAAATCATATGAAATCGGCTTGATAATATAAATGCCAACCGTGCTCCAATTTCTACTCGGTTACTTTAAAAACAACTGAAAACATTTCAGATGACAACGTCGTAGTAACAAAAACTATCCATATTCTTCATCCATCTTGTTTATTCTGCGGAAAATCTGAGGAATGTGAGATCTTGTTTGGGTGAAATTTCGAATGCCATATTCCCGAATACTACGTATACCTACGATATATATCCTCGGCAAATTAAGCACGGATTGATAGAACTGAATACATTTCATTGACAATCGGCGCGATACGTACGTTGATTAGCATCATCGTCATCGTCTTGTGGGTGTTTGTTATCGAGATATAATCAGGTCCACTTCAACGTATTATTAATATTAATGTTTTTGACAGAAATCTGAGGAGGACAAGAAAACTCAATGAGAGATAGGTAATAACAATCATATTCATGAAAAATACAGACACGGGTTCACTGTACAGCAACAATTCATATAAAATGTATTGATAGTCAATCAATTGACCTATTAGCAGATGATTTGAAACACCCGGAAAATAACTGTCCGTTTATTATGTTAATATCACCATTTTCATCAAGAACAATCTATAATATTATAGGCATATTGATTATAATATTATAATTATCAGCATCTATAAATATTATAGATATCGATCGTCAACGTTATCACCAACAATTATAACTGTCATCATGTTCAACATCATCATTATCATCCATCAAAATAACAATAATTTTATTTTGTTTTATTTCGAACATATTTAAACAGGATTAAAACACATCAGGTGGTTGTTAAAGCCTGTTTTTCTTCATATGGTCCTGTTCAAACTTTTACTAGCTTGTAATCATTGTCAACTTCATCAACACAAATAGTTGTTGTTATCATCCTATTTGGCATGTAATTTACAAAAAGAAATGATTCTCTTGGAGCAAAACATTCATCACTGTGCGTCGTCATCAAAATGACATCATACCATCATGTTCCAATCGACTAATATACACCGGGTCTAAAACTTTCTATATTCAATAAAGTACCGCGGTATTAATAATGTTTATACTGATATTTGATCTCATTATCCTGTTATATGGTTGCATTTATTATTGGACCTACTGAATTATAACCAAAACCTGTCCGTATCTATTTTTTATTTTTTTAGTTTTTGTTTACGTCGGTCCACATTTGTTACGAATAAACGATTGAATGAAATGGTTCAGATTTTGTTAGGTTATCAAATATTTAATAAGAATAGTTTTACTCGAGTAAACGAAGCAAACGTCATTTGCAACCGAACTGTGAATACACAAACATTCTCAAAATAATTCTACTATTAGAAAGCAGGCATGCACACTGGAGTATGTGCGTTTATGGTAAGATAGTAAATAACACGACCACGTCATTTGTGGAAACACCTACGAAAGCGTGATTTACTAACCTTTCCCATATAGAATATCCAATTCAAACAAGTTGATAAACCACGGCTAGACAGATAAACATAATGAGGAGTCAGCCAACATATAATATGCAATGGCGTCAACAGTGAATGGTAAATTTAGGAATAAAAACAATTACTATAATTTGAGGTAACGCTTGAGCGCTGTGGATGAGTCCAAAATACTGCAACACTGAACAACGCAAGCGTTTACTGAAGAACTTAATAGTAGTATGGTTAACACCAGACTGCACAGTAGCTGTGGATTGTAGTATTTTGGACAACTCTGTTAATTCATCTAGAGAAACTTAAATAATTGTTTTGATTCCTTGATATACATACGGATCCCAAGACTTGGCAAATACTATCGATTAAAATTTTAAAACAAAAGTCATTCTTAGAGACTCGTTACCAATATGTTTGCAGTCCGAAGAGACTTAATTGATATACAGGTTTTACTACCAATACTATGAGTGTGTTCCTCTAGTCTAGTTTCTAATAACAAGTTTGCAAAATGATGAAATTTCTAAATTTGGTCAAACGTTTTAAATGGTAAGCAATATTATTAACACTACGCAAACGTAGAAATACCTTCAATTATTTGTAATTTTCTTTAGTTTTATCTGATTAATCTGTTTTAGAGGTCTTCATAACTAAAAGATACACAAGTTACCGTAAGTTTTAAAAAAATGTTCCACAATTAAATAAGTTAAAAACAAGAATATTTTGTCAATATTAACAACGAAATATATATAGAGTTTGGTTAACTGCAGATTTATTAGTGGGAACGGTTTGGTTTCCCAATCTCGAGGTCGGGGTTTCGATCCCTCGCTGTGCATTTAACTTGTGTCATTAGGCAAGACACTTTATCTGCATTGCTTCTCTCCACCCAGGAGTATAAATGAGTATCTGGTAGGGTTATATACCAAAATGCGCTGATGTACCTGCTGCAACTTATGGAATACTCCCCTAGGGAGCTTGAGTTTGTGTTCTATAGGCGTTTAATCCAATGACTGGGGGTAATGATGTGAAGCTCTTAGAGGCCTTGTTGACGTTCAGCGCTATATAAATCTAGCATATTATTATTATTATTTATTTATTTATTTATTAATTATTATTATTATTATTATTATTATTATGTAATAATACCTGCATATTATTATTATTATTATTATTATTATTATTATTATTATTATTATTATGTAATAATACCTCCATGGTGTAACGCATGCGTTATTGTTCCTTTGTGATCTAATAAACGGGCACGCGTGCGTTACTTTCCAACTCACCTCCTAGTTATCCCGCAGTAAAGATTTTGCTGGTGGCGGTGCTCTACTATGTGCACCAAAGTATTGTATTTTCTCTTTGCAAAAAAAGTTAAGCTGCGTCTCGAGGCATGCAAACGTCATGCTGTGTCAGTCAGCTTTTGCATACGTATACATTTTGACCGTTAAGGCAATTTGCAACAGTTTACACTAAACAACATGGTGTGATTTTACCACATAGAGAAAGTTAAACACAAAGAAGCCAATTACAAACACAAAATCTGAAGAACCCTTGAAACATTCACTAAAATTGTTTATTATTTTCTACAAATGTATCAACTGCCAATGGACACTGATAGAACCAATAGTTTTCACCGATTTACAAATTATGTTTAATACAATAATTCCTCATTTGATGTCAGTGAAAAGGATGTTATCTATGTCGGTTAACTGGCAAACAAATGAGCTAATAACTTACTCATCAAAGTAAGCAGTTCTTCGCGTTTGTTGGCTTAACAAACAACTACCCAACAAAAAAAATAATAACCTGCATAATTGAGGGCAGCAGTGATACAATAACAAATGTGAGAATATAAGTCAGCTGACCTTATAAGCCCTCTCGTAGTATCAACCCCGTATTATGTCAAAGGTAAAAATTTAAATAAAAAATTCAAAAGGCTAACACACTATCGTCAGCCTTTATTTCATTAAGCGTTGATACTTGATAATTGTTGGTATTTACTTTAGGCTAATACTACTGTAAAACAATTTAGAAGAACTTAAACTCTATAAAATGCAGACGATAGGCATAGGTACACAGGCATGCTCAATTTAAACTAAAACAAACGGCTTGTTGCAATATAAACGTTATTAAACATTATTAAAAAAACGAATTACAATCAATATCAAAATAATACCTTCACTGATATCCTCTGTAAAAATAGGCACTATGCTGCCCTCTTCAGACTACAATGTCAACAAATGACATGTAAAATAATACACGTAGACTACATGCACGTGTAACACAATGTAATTTCAATTTAATATAATTTATTGCATTCACCATATTTTAATTGTTGCAATACCAGTAGGCCCACTCTGCGTAACCAGCATCGTTATGTACAATGAAAAATGTTTAATCGATATAGTGCACCATAGGGCTTCTCTTTTTTATTTCTTCTTTTTTTTTTCCGAACTTTTGATGGGCTTTTTTTGAAATGGGCTTCTTTTCGAGATGGGCTTCTTTTTGAGACTACTTTTGCAAAGTAAAGAGGGGGGGGGGCTTCTTTTCAAAATGAATCCTGTAAATTTTGTGAATTTGTATTATAAAACTATTAACAAGGCCACTGCAGCATCAATCTGTATCATGGAGTGTATTTAACTGGCATTAAATCACCTAAAAACTAGGCCCTCTTTATAAACCAAGCTTGTATTTAATTTATTTTGTTTTCTGAAATCCATGTACAGTGTAGGCCTATGTACTTTATTATCTGGAAAAGAAGCCTATGCTATCTTGAAAAGAAGCCCTTTGCAAACTAAAGAAGGGGGCTTCAATTTGAGATGGGCTTCATCTCAAGATTAAGCCCACTGGGCTTGACTTAACTTGACATAAAAATACCTAGTTATGAAACATTACGCAAGCACCGTGTTAGTTATTTCATGGTTGTACTATATTGACGATAAATGTCCCGTCGAAATCATATAGTAAGTTGAGATTGAGATTCAGAGATTCGGGTCGAACAGCAATTACTGAATGATCAATCAGCATCACCGAAATCTCTCGGCGATAGAGTGTAGCGATTGTATGGAAACAAAGCTTTAAAGAACTCTTGGTCGCAGAGTCACAGGACAATAGACTCACGGATTTTATACAGACTTGACAATTCAGGTTTGATTGAATTGTAGCATTTGGAATGCAGATTCAACTTCTCTTGCGACCGTACAAGTTTGGCTAAACCAAATATGGTGAGATCATAATATGGCACATGCTAGAGATACATAGACGTAAATGCTTGACAAGCTACGGACATAAGGTGGAGACTATTAGTGGGTCTCAGAGTAGATGGTCCAGGCCAAGCCTGTTAATGCTATCGTAGGGAATGGAGGAGTCGTGTGCTCCAACTTCTGTGCCGAACAGTACGTGAAGTTTGTCCCATGGGCATTATAGAATATATTCTCTTTATTGGCGACAATGGAGTTGTTATTTAAGCTATGTTTACCATAAACATTACAATCAAAATATAGTTAGTTGTATGCCAGGAGCATTTATAGGCCTAATGTCGTCATGTAAACAGCATACATGGTAGCCTTGTAGATTTCTACAACATTCTACAACTCAGTCATCTGTCACCAACGCAGCAGCCTATATGGTCATTTAGCCAAAATTGGTGATATTTTAATTGAACCCTCAACATACAGCTGTTGTTTTCTTCAATCACAACCAGACGTGTGAACTGAACTACTTGCGAAGGAATCAAATACACTATATGATGGATGCAATTTTGTTGACAGGCCTGGACCTAGGCCTACATTTTCTAATGACGCATGCGTACATAAGGTCAACGTTCTATCATCAAGGTGGTCGAAATGGATAATGAATGGTAAATTCATATTAAATTTGGTATCAAACGTTAGGAAAGTCAACTGACGATAAAAGTAGAAAGTTTACTGTAATGCAAAATCAATCAAT